GGGGCGCCCGCCGCCTGCGGCGCACGATGATGGCGTCACGGGGGGCGGGGCCAGGCCGCGCCCCGGGAGGGGAGTGACTCGCGTGGCCGGGGGCGTGGCTTTTCGCGCCGGAAGGGGGCGTGGCCCCGGCGCCGCTTTCCCACGCGGGAGCGAGGCCATTGCGAAAATAGGCGGGGTCGGGGACCGGGGGCACCGGGGGGACCGGGGGCACCGGGCTCGTCCCTGGGGCACCCGCCGAGGCAGAAGCGAGGCACCGGTTCCCTCCCGGCTGAAAGCAGAGCGTGGCGCCGTTGAGGGGCCGGGGGTAGTTCCCGCTTTCCACGGGTTTATCCTCAAAGGCTTGAGGAACTCGCGCAAGAAAAAATGGAGTCAAGGGATGCACAGGAACAGCCCCCCGAGAGAGCCCTGGGGCAAAGCAAGGAAACCGGAGCATCCTGCATGGCCAAACCTCCCTCGCCTCCATGCATCCCGGGTCTTCCATACCCCTAAGGCACAAAGATAAGGGGCCCACAAGCAATTCTCTGAGGGGGGTTCTGCAAACCACCTTTAAGCCGAGCACTGGGGCATTTATTGCAGCCCTCACCCCACCAGCTGCATGAATCCCCCCTACCTCTTGGTAAACGGGGGGAAGTTTACCCTGATCCCACCTCAGGGATCAGGCTCCTGGCACCATCCACATGCACTGGCACGGTGTGAAGGCACCACCACCCTCCAGGATCCCCCCCAGCACTGGCTCCGGGGAGCAGTGAGGGCTGCTGCCATCCCCACGTGCAGGAGCTTGGGACAGAGTGGCCTGCAGCCACCCCATGCACACCCCATGTACCCTCCCGCACACCCCAGGCACAACTTCCTCATTGTCCCCAACCGCTCCTGTGCGTGGCTGTACAAAGCCAAGGCCTGTGCAAAACTTATTCCTTGTAGCAAGTCTGTTTGGGGAGGGTTTTTTTTTTTCCTCTTTGCAACCCACCTTTGATACCCATGCAATCCCTTTCCCAGCACTCATAGAATCACAGAATGGTTTGGGTTGGAAGGGACCTTAAAGACCACCCAGTGCCACCCCCTGCCCTGGGCAGGGACACCTCCCCCCAGACCAGGTTGCTCCAAGCCCCCTCCAACCTGCCCTTGACCCCCTCCAGGGATGGGGCAGCCACAGCTTCTCTGGGCAACCTGGGCCAGGCTCTCCCCACCCTCACAGCAAAGAAGTTCTTCCCCAGATCTCATCTCCATCTCCCCTCTTTCAGTGTTAAACCCTTCCCCCTCGTCCTGTGGCTCCCCTCCCTGATCCAGAGTCCCTCCCCATCTCTCCTGGAGCCCCTTGAGGGACTGGAAGGGGCTCTAAGGTCTCCCCGGAGCCTTCTCTTCTCCAGGCTGAACCCCCCAACTCTCTCAGCCCCCCCTCCCAGCAGAGGGGCTCCAGCCCTCCCAGCATCTCCATGACCTCCTCTGGCCCCATCCAACAGCTCCATGTCCTCCTGCTGTTGGTGGCCGCACTGGGGGGGTCTCCCCACAGCGGAGCAGAGGCAGAATCCCCCCCTGGCCCTGCTGGCCACGCTGCTGGGGATGCGGTCGCCTTTCTGGGCCGCCAGCGCACTCTGCGCCCTGCCCCCGGCCTTCCCTTGCCGCCCCCCGGCCCTGACACCCTGACGGCCCGAGCGCCCCTCCCCTCTCCGCTTGGTAAGCCCCCAGCCCCCTACGCCACCGGGGCCGCCTTTCCTCCCGCACACCTCTCCCAGGGCCGCCTCCTCCCCGCTCCGCTCCCCCGCCCCGGCCCCGTCCCTATCCGGGCTCCCGCCGCCTGTCCCCGCCCCGCGGCGCCTGCGCCCAGCGCCGCTTCCTGGTGGCGGCGGGGCCCGGGCCGGTACCGGGGCGATGGCGGGGCCGGTGCTGGCGGCGGCGGGGCTGTGGGCTCGGGGGGCGGCGGGCGGAGAGGTGGCGGCGGCGCGTCCCGGGGCGCTGGAGGAGGAGATCGTGTCGGAGAAGGCGGCGGAGGAGAGCCACCGGCAGGACAGCGCCAACCTGCTCATCTTCATCCTCCTGCTCACCCTCACCATCCTCACCATCTGGCTCTTCAAGCACCGCCGCGCCCGCTTCCTCCACGAGACCGGGCTCGCCATGATCTACGGTGAGGGGCACGCCCCCCCCCGCACCCCCCCCACTCCTCCTCAGCCCACCCCACGCACCCGCCTCCATGGGAAACCCTGGCACCCCCATCCAGACCAGTCCCGGCTCTGCACTGGGCCAGCATCAGCATCTGAGTTGGCCACCTACTTTCAGCCCACCCTTCCCTTCGTGGGTACCCAGTGGCCCGTCACCCAGGGGCTATGGCAAGGCTCCTTCCGTGGGTGAAGGGGTGCGGGGACCTGGGGGGACACTCTGCATCCCCTCCCACCATGGCTGGATGCTCCCATCCTGGCTCACCCCATGCCCAGCGTTGTTGCTGGCGGGAGGGTTGGTTGGGTTCCAATCCCCGGGTGTCGAGGTGGTGTTACTCCCAGATCCCCGGCAGTGAGGAACTGGTTGGCTTTTCCCAGGGCAGCTGCAGCATGGGTGAAGCTGGCGGGGGTCAGAAGCTACCACATGCCAAGTGGCCCCAAAACCATGTCACCCAATGCTGGCAAATCCCACTTACCTGCTCCAGGGCTGAGAGTGGGGACTTGGGGCAGGGCCTGTTGCAACAGGACAAGGGGTAGCAGCTCTAAATTGAAAGAGGGTGGATTTAGACGAGATGTAAAGAAAAACATTTTTTATAATGAGGGTGGTGAAATGCTGGCCCAGGTTGCCCAGAGAGGTAGTAGATGCCCCATCCCTGGCAACATTCAAGGTCAGTTTAGACAGGGCTCTGAGCAACCAGCTGTAGTTGAAGATGTCCCTGCCCATGACAAAGAAGCGGGGTGGATTAGATGGGCCCCTTCCAACCCAAACCATTCCATGATCCTATAGGTCAGGCTTTGCAGTGGTCAGAAACTTTGCGTACCACACGCTGGGGCCAGAGGTCATGTTTCCACCCTAAGTGTAGGGCACCTGAATTTCCAGAAGCCATCCAAGAAGGATGGAGAGGCCACTTGGGAAGATACTCCCACCCTTGGCCTTCCTCAGGGACCTGTGGGCCCAGCAGCCTCATGTCCTGCCGCTCGGTGACCTGGGCGTGTGAGCTCCTACTTTTGGGGTTCCTCCTCCCTCTGTGACAGGAGCTCTTGGTGAGATGTGTTCCCACAAGAAGTGGAGCAAGGCTGTGGGTCGGGGGAGTGGGTCTGTAGCTGGTTAGATTTCAATGGTGACCTGTGGTTTACTGAGGTGACGTGACCTTGTGGAGTGGCCTGAACCATCGTATGAAGATGCGGTATGTGGCTCTGCCTGGGTTATCTAGCATGACTTGGGAGTTCAACCAAAGCAGGGCTGGGAGTTGTGCTGGGGGAGTGATTAATGCAGCCATGGAGCCTTATCTAGGCAAGAATTGTTGAGTTTAGGATTGAAAATGTGTCTTCTGCTGGATGCTGCAGTTCGTGTCTCTTCTCTGTGCTGTCTTTGCCCTTCCTGGTTGTGGGTGACGTGCGACCAAGCTCGGTCAGAGCAGCAACGTGGCCGGGTGAGCCCCCCACCCAGCAGAAAGCTTTGCTCCGAAGGCTCTGACTTGACCCATTTGGGCCGTTGGCTTTTGTGACCCTAAGTTTCAGTTAATTGGAGGTGTCCTTCCAAATGAAGGGGTGGAGACACTTGTGTTGGCCCAGGGTCACAGAATACTGGTCTGCCTTTTCAGAGTCTGCTGAGGCGGGTGCAGGTGTTCCTGGCCTCCTGCCCGGGGCAGGGGTGGTTGCCTCCCAGGGACAGGAGCTACACGGTGGCAGCACGTGCTTCCAGCATGGAGGGTCTTCCTTCTGCTGCCCCAGAGCTTGCCGACGCACGGACTTTTTAATCTTTTCATCCTCAACCTTGTTCTTCTTCTCTTGGAGTTTTCTTCCTCTTGGTCCTCCGTCCTCCCCGACCCACCTGATTGCTCTCCTTGTTCTCGGGACGACCTGGGTCATTTTGGTCTCCTGCTGATCCGTAAAACGAGTGTTTTCTGTCTGCTCTTTTGCAGACTGTGCTTAGAGAATTGCTGGTGAAATCGGAGTTGTCACCTCTCTGGTCGTGCAGAAAATCCCGAGTTTTTCCCTGCTCTCCAGGCTTGTGGCATTCGCTTCTCAGGTTGTAACAGCTGCCATAGGAAAAGGGATGTGTGATTTCCCAAGGAGTGGGGAGATGCTGGTGTTTTACGGCAACAGCTTCAAAGCTGCAGGCAGCAAAGCCGGGTGCTGCTGCTGCTGGGCTGTGCCCAGCCCCCCGCAATGCTTTCGGCCCTGGGGATGCTTTCAGCCCTGGGGAAGTCCGTGGAAAATGTGGAAGTGCCACAGCTGGCAGGCTGCAAAACACACCCTGAAATCTGGGCAGGAGAAAGCAATTTGTAAAAGCTTGTCTTTTCCTAATTGAAAAAAAAAAAACCCACAAAACCCACCCCAACAACCAAGTCAAAGAAAATTTTTGTGTGTGCATCTCTTGCTGAAATCCATCCGAGATTCCTTGGGGGGCTGTGTTTTTACTCTAAGTTGTAAGGCCCTTGCTCCAGGTGGATTTATATCTTACAAATCACGCTGTCGGCACAGAGTGGATGCTCCAGAGCTGGGCACAGCGTGGACTCATCTCATGGAGAGCCAATACGTGTTTAGTAGCCCCTAAGCTTCATTTCAGTGTTTTGAATAAGGTTCACACCTCGCAGGTACTCAACATTTAGGATGATTAATTGAACAGTCTTGTTTCAGTTCCTCTTGGGGCCTGATGGTGGATGTGGCAGGAACTTCTCTAGAAGTTTGGTTTCCTTGTAGTTGTTCCCACTTGGCCCCTGGATTGTGTACATCTAGATTGCATGTTGTCAGGTTGTCCTCAGTTGCTCGCTAGATTTTTCTTTCCTTTTGGTGTCCAGATTAATGCTCGCCTGGGGATCCCGTGCGCTTCCATTGTTGTTAAGTGCCTGAACGGTAATATATTAGTCTTCATTTAAAACCTTACCTCGGAAATGTTCAACAGCACCTAAAAAAAAAAAAACCAAAACAAAAAGCCCATGGGCTTTTGTTCTTTGTAATGAAGTTGGGAGAAAAGCAATGAAAATAATCTCCTGCACTTTGCATAAAAGAACTCAATTAATTCACCAGCTTTGCCTTTAGCTTCTCTACTCCTTGCAGCTCTCAGCTGGCAGCTTCCTTGGTGTCAGGTTCCCTCCGCTCCACTCCCTCCCAGGGCTCAGTTTTGTAAAAACCTTTGGCTTCCAAAGCATGTCGGTACTGGTGGAGCAGCTCACGGGTTGCTGCTAGGACAGCCCTTTGAGCGCCAAGAGAGTTGGAAGTATTTCCTAAGAGGGTGTCCGAACCGGGAGGACTTACATGGTCTCCCCTGGGCTTGGTCCAGGCAGCCTGAGCCCAGGACTGGGTTTGGTGACTGAAAAAAACTTGGCGTCCGAGTTGGGCTTGTCCTGGGTGCCTCCAGTGATCATCGTTAGGTGGGGAGTGATGATTACAGCTCCAGCCTTGGGCAGGAGGGGCTGGTGGTGGTGGTGTCATCTTAATGGTGGTGGAGTAATTGGCTTTAAGCAGTGCAGGACGTGCTTTCCCCATGAGTAACTGGTGGTGTCCCTGCGTGGGAGCGCGTTGCTGGCGGGTTCGCACCCCACCAGCTCCTCCTCCAGGTCTGTGTTGGCACCGGGGTTCCTCTTCCTACCCAGGTGGGAGAGCTCCGGGAGCCCCCCAGGCACCCTGTTACCAGGCAAGAGAAAATGCCTGATTTTTGCAGCCCCAAGCACAGCAGCTTTGCCAGATCATGGTCGGTTTATACGTCCCTTTTCCCTTATCCTATTCCTGGCCAGGGTGGGAATTCTGCAGGCAGGGCCAGGAGCAGCTGCCCGGGTAATCGAGCCGGGGGGGACGAGCAGGGGTGCTGTGGGATGTGGCGCTGCTTTGGGACAGGGATTAAGAGTGGAAAGGCGGGTGGCTCAGGATCATTCTGAACTCCCAGCAGCCATGTCCCTCTGTCCCTCCTGTCTCTCATCTCAGAGCCTGGGCATTTAAAGGGATCGCTGGATGGGCTTCCAGCTGAGCAAAAACAGGCAACTGCTGCTGCTGGAGGTTTTAGACTCCCGTGTGAAGCTCTAAAATCAGCATTTTTCTTTTTAAAAAAGGCTATTTAAAAGCCACCCCAGGCAGCTGTGGAGGCCACAGAGCGCAGTGCCCGGGTGCTGCCTGCTCCGTGGGAGCGGAGGAGGAATTGCAAGGGCAGAGGATAAATAGCTCTCCAGTCTGGCTTTCCCCCTTTCCCACCCTTTTGGGAGTGCTGGTGGATGAGAAACTCAACATGAGCCGGCAATGTTCACTGGCAGCCCAGAAAGCCCCCCACATCCTGGGATGCATCAAGAGAAGTGTGGCCAGCAGGTCCAGGGAGGTGATTATGCCCCTCTGCTCCGCACTAAGACCCCACCTGGAGCTCTGTGTCCAGCTTTGGAGTCCTCAGCACAGGAAGGACATGGACCTGTTGGAATGGGTCCAGAGGAGGGCCAAAAGATGATCAGAAGGATGGAGCCCCTCTCCTGTGAGAACAGGCTGAGAGAGCTGGGGTTATTCAGCCTGGAGAAGAGAAGGCTCCAAGGAGACCTTAGAGCAGCCTTCCAATATCTGAAGGGAGCTACAGGAGAGCTGGGGAGGGACTCTGGATCAGTCAGTGGAGTGACAGGACAAGAGGGACCGGTTTTAAATTGGAAGAGGGGAGATTTAGATTAGATACCAGAAAGAAATTCCTTGCTGTGAGGGTGGTGAGAGCCTGGCCCAGGTTGCCCAGAAAAGCTGTGGCTGCCCCATCCGTGGAGGGGTTCAAGGCCCGGCTGGAGAGGGCTTGGAGCAACCGGGTCTGATGGGAGGTGTCCCTGCCCAGGGCAGGGGGTTGGAACTCGATGATCTTTAAGGTCCCTTCCAACTCTAACCATTCTATGATTCTATAATTGAATTCTCACTGTAGCCATTTATAGCTGCTTAATAGCCATAAGCAGGTGTAAATAACCATCTGAAGCTCACTTTATCCCAGTGAAAATTGTTGTTGTCTCCCCTCGGGTGTCATTGTCTTTTGGGTGCAAGGGAGCCAGGGTGCTTTGGCCCGATGCTGTGATGCTGTGCACCCCCCCTGCCACATGCTCCTGGAAGTAGGTGCTGTGGCATCCCGTGTCCTTGACATCCTTGCCTTCATTTCCATACTTTTATTTTGGGAGCACTGGCCGATCACAGGAGCTAAGAGGCTGGGAGAAAAGTAAGCAAAAGCATTCCTTTTTGGTGTTCCCCTCTTAGTGATGCTGGTATCAAAGCAGCTCTCGGATGCTCTGCACGGTGTGACGTTCCCTGCAGCAGCTTCTCTTGCCTTCTTGTGCCAAGAGGGACCTTTTCTGCTCCTGTTGGGGCAATTCCGTGCCAGTGGTGCAGGATAAAGCCCAAAGCGTGTGGTGAGCACGTGGTTGACTGTGCATGCCTTGAAAGCATCGGTAGCTTTGCGAGAGGAGCTCAGCTCTGCTGCAGAAGTGCCGTGTTGGACCAGAGACTGGGTTTTGGGTGCAGGCTGGTCCCTGAGATGAGCCAGCTGTGTCACCAGTGTGATTGGTGAGCAGCCGTGAGTCTCTGTCTGCAGACGATTCTTCTGCCTCTGCTCATGGGCTGGATGTGTGCTTGGGTGGCCCTGCTGTGCATGATATCCCCAGGGGCTGGAGGTGGGGGCTCTTCTTCTGGCCATCAGCAAAATGAGCAAATCTCGTCCTGGAAAACTGCTGGCAAGGGGAGAGAAGGCAAAAACCAGGCGGCAGATCAGGAACGGGCTGCAGGAGATGCTGAACGCCCCAGGGCCCCTTGATCTCCTGCCCAGCCATGGCAGAGCCCAGGATCTGCTCCCATGAGATGGAGGGACAGTTGGGGGGGTTCAGCCTAGAGAAGAGAAGGGAGAACTTAGAGCCCCTTCCCATCCTTAAAGGAGCTCCAGGAAAGCTGGGGAAGGCCTCGTGATCAGGGAGGGGAGCCATAGGACGAGGGGGAAGGGTTTGACACTGAAAGAGGGGAGATTGAGATGAGATCTGGGGAAGAACTTCTTTGCTGTGAGGGTGGTGAGAGCCTGGCCCAGGTTGCCCAGAGAAGCCGTGGCTGCCCCATCCCTGGAGGGGTTCAAGGGCAGGTTGGAGGGGGCTTGGAGCAACCTGGTGTGGTGGGAGGTGTCCCTGCCCAGGGCAGGGGGTGGCACTGGATGGTCTTTAAGGTCCCTTCCAACCCAAACCATTCTGTGAGTCTATGATTCCCTTTGGTCAGGGTTATGCCCTGCGTGTAGGAAAGCACAGAGCAAGATCTTAATTAACAGTGAAGAAGCGGGAGCGTCCTGGGAGGCAAATGGAGAAGCCTTCCCAGCGTTGCGGTCTCCGTTTAGTTCCCATGTGTCTGAAAGCTTTTCATAAACGTGTGGTTCAGAGATGGGGTTAAGATCCAGCATTTCTGTGGCGGCTCTGTGCTGCCTTAATCAAGGAGTTCCCAAACCCTTTTGTGCTGAAGGCTACATGGAAGGGTGTCCTGTGGGACGTCCCTCCTCCCCAGCCTGCAGATGTCAGAAAGCTCAGTCCAGAGAGCCCTCGGCACACCAGGCGGGTGAGAAGGAGCCGGAGGAGCCCACGCTGTGCGAATGCAGTTAATCTGGATGCAAGACCCGAGAGCGCAGCTCATCAGCTGTGCTGCAGATGAGAAGTGCCGTATAAATCGCTGACTTACAAATTAGCCCCCCCACACACTCTCCTGCACAGTAGCTGGGCCGGAGGCAGCGTTGGCTCCTGGGGCTGCTGCTCCTGGGGCAGAGCTGGAGCTTGCTGGGGGCGAGGAGCAGACATGGGTGGTCGGTCTGGATTGGGAAACTTCCATGGTTTTTAGAAAAGGGGGATCGCTGCTGTGTGCTGCAAAAGCTCCCCGGCGCAGGAGGAGGCTCTGTGGTGCTGCAGCATCTTCTGAAGGATGCTCACCATCCTCAGAGCATTTGTGGTAGTTGCTTGGTACCTTTTTTTGATCTCCTGCAAAAATGATGGGTTTACTGTATTTCTGTAGTGGCAAAATGTGATGCATTCAGGTTTTTGGGTGCAACGTGCATAGTTTGGGCATGTGTGAGCAGCCTTGCCCAGGTCCCCAGCTGTGTGCCAGCAATGCCAGCACTAAGAAAGCTGGCATGCCCTCGATGTCGGCTGTTTGCCGCTCTAAAGCGAGGGTCTGACATTGCTGGGTAATTAAAAGCCTTCAGGACCAGTCCATGGCTGGTGTTAGAAAGCCTGCATGAGCATGGAGCATTTGCCTGGCTCATAGGAGGACGCGGGTGGTTTAATATCACGTGGAGAATTCTTTGGATGATGGTTGAGCAGAGGGTCAGGATCCCGGCATGCCGGATGCTGCATCCATGCTCAAAGAGATGGGACCCGGGAGTTTGCTGCATCTGGTCTCACCCACATGTGTCACTCCCCAGGGGTCCTGGTCGGTGTGGTCCTGCGCTACGGCATCCACGTCCCCAGAGACATCAACAACGTGACGCTGAGCTGCCAAGTGCAGACCAGTCCCGCTACGCTGCTGGTGAACGTCAGCGGGAAGTACTACGAGTATACCCTGAAGGGGGAAATCAGCGCCCAGGAGCTCAATAATGTCCAGGACAATGAAATGCTGAGAAAGGTAAGGGAGTCGGTGACTGGAGAGGTGAGCAATGCTTCCCACTCCCTCCATGGGGACCGAGCCTGTATCTGCTGGATTAAGTGATTATTTTTAATTATTTTTTTTTTACTTCAGTCAGATAGTGATCGGCTATAAAATGCAAGTTGAATGCAACGTAATGGAACCCTAGTTTCAGCTGATCTTAATTAAAGCTGTTTAGGCTCTGGGCTCTGTCTTCAAAAGGTCCTGGACAAATCCTCAGTGTTCACCCGACAGCATTTCATCTGGCGGGAGTACAGTGTTCCCTCCATATACTTTATATGACATTCTTATTTGTGTTTTGTCTTGCAAAGTCTTAACAAACCAGTTGACTGTTGGTTGTTTTTTTGTTTTCTTTTTTTTTTTTTCTTAACAGGTGACTTTTGACCCTGAAGTATTTTTCAACATTTTGCTTCCTCCAATTATATTCTATGCAGGCTACAGCTTGAAAAGGGTACGTGCCTTTACAGCACCTACGTTTTTAGTTCCTCTGCCTCCAGAGCATTTTTAATACTTGAGAGTGCTTTAATGCTTGCTCAGCAGGCCGTGGCTGTGGAGCTGGCTACGGTTTCCCCCAGCACGTGTGGGATTGTGGGAAACAGGGCTGAGAGTGCCCCGGTTGGTCTCATCCATCCCCCTGCCCCGGGATGGGTCAGTGATTTCAACCATTTCCAGCATGGGTTTGGGCAGAGGTTTGAGGTCAGCGGGGCCATTTCAGCCACCGCTTGCTTTTGAACCACATAGGAGGGTGAGAAGGTTTTAGAAAGCAGCAGCTCTCCAAAATGCTGATTTGGAAGGAGAGGAAAACAATCCTGTTTAGCTTGCGGGAGAAGGAAGGGGGAAAGCTGCTGGGTTAGGAAATCAGTTCACAGGACTCGGAACAGCACCTTATTAAATACGCGGGTACAAGAAAATGGTATGTTCATGTTTATTAATGCTGCATTAAAATCTGCTGGTCTGGCAGCGTACACTGTTGTGCTGGGTACTGTTCCTGTCCAGCTCGTGGCGTTTGAGCTGGGTGCAAGCTGCGTGGGTTAAAATAATATAAATATTGAAATAAATAACAAAATATAATTCAGTGCATTTGTTGGTTTGTGTTTGTTTTTTTTTTCTCCTCCTTCTAGAGGCACTTCTTCAGAAACTTGGGATCCATCCTAGCGTACGCTTTTCTGGGCACTGCCATTTCTTGCCTGGTGATCGGGTGAGTCATTGGAGCTGCTCTGGTTCTTCTCTGAGGCCTGAGCCCTGCTCAGGGGCCGTGCTCTGAGCCTGGAGCTGCGGCTGCGAATCCTGGCCCTAAAAGATGGCACGGGCTCTCTGCTCCCGCCACTCAGCAGCGGCAAATAACGCTAATGACTGTCCAGACTTTCCCTGTGTGGGCAAGGCAATTGCTGTCTAATTGCTTAGTGCTTTCTCAGCATCCCGTGCAGAATATACATGGGGAGGAAAGTTTCACACTTCTCTGAAGGCTGTCCTGAAAAAGCAGTCAGTAACTTCAAATTATTGAGAGCACAGCCCTAGTAAGCGTGAGAGCAGGATCCTAAACACGTGTCCTGTCCTTTCTTGCTGGAAGCAGGTGCCTGGCGAGCGCTGATTGCCATTCAGAGTATTTATCCCTGCACGCAGAGGGAGCTGGATGATTCCCACTCTCAACAGTCGCACACCAGCTGGCGTAGGGTGTTTTCCACTGGGGAGGCCAGTGGATTCATGCAAAACTCAGCATCCTCGTTTTCTGTTGCTCAGGGAAAGTTTTGGCCATTTCGAAGTCAGGCCAAGGTCATCCCTCTGAGACACCTTAATGTGAGATGCTGCAAAATGATCACGAGACCCCACGAGCCCATCTGCTGCCTTTGCTTTAGTTGTGTTACGCTCGTGGAGGAGTTTGGGCCCTGGTTCCTCCCCGGTGCCGTGTTTGTGGTCTGGTGCAGCAGGTGCTTTGTGCAGTGTGTGGACCCACACTCACGTCCAGACTGTGGCCCTGGGGTTTCACCAGGCTCAGCCCATCCTGTGTTCCTATGTTTGGGTTAATCTGGGGTTAATCAGATTAATTAGGGGGTTCATCTGGCAAATTCAGGGGAATCGAGCCCATTTGAATGTCGTTTTATTGCACTGCAGAGGTAAGTAATTGCCTCTTCTGATCACCAGCTCTGTTGTGTATGGCTGCGTGGCGCTGATGAAAGTCACTGGGCAGCTCGGGGGAGACTTCTACTTCACTGACTGCCTCCTCTTCGGGGCCATTGTATCGGCTACTGACCCAGGTATGTTCCATGGTTATTTTCCCCAACATTTTACCTATTTGATCTGTTTGGAGTTTTGGGGAAGAGGGGAAGAAAGTCTGAACCCCGTGAAAGTTCCCTCTTTCTGAATTTCGGAGTTTATTTGCAACATTCCCAGAGGTGAGATTTGTCTCCATGCCTTCTCATTTCCTTTCAGTTCCATGTAACACTCCTTCCAGACCTCTGCTTCCAAAATCTTTGTTGGCAGTGAAGTCCTGGCTGTCTCTCTCTTGACTTTGCTGGGTTTTGGGAACAGGTCCACTGTGTTTCTGCCATCTTTTGCCAAGGGCTGATGCAGAACAGGACACGTAACATGGGGAGGGCTCCGTTGACAGTTTTAGTTAGTTGAGCTGATTTCCTTCTGCTTCTGTTTGGGTGGGATTTTGGAAGGTGCTAATCTAATTGGAAGTTGCTTTTAATGGGCAGCACTGAGGACAGTAGTGACAGCTTGGTCTGCTGAAGCACTTTGTAAATCAAAACTATGAAAAACACGGCTCGTCTGATTGAATTTCACATAGTTCCCAATTAATTTACAGAGTAGCTGTTTATTTGCATGTTCCAGCTTCACCTGAAAGCACAGAACCACAGAAAGGCCTCTCCTTCCTCCTGCCCTGTACTGAAAAGGGCATAAATGTCTTCCTTTGCTGCCTTCGGGGGGTGTGGCAGCATTTACCCTGTTACAGCAGCTTTGGGGGATCTTTTGAAATGCAGATATTGGTCAGTTTTGCTGGGAAGGGAGAGATTGCACGCCCGGGTAGGCCAAGTCTTCTGCCCTTTTGAAACAAGTGCCAGTGGCTGCCGTTTTCAGATGAGTTGGGACTTTTACCTGCTCATCTTAATGATGAGTCATTTCTGGTTTCAAAGGCAAAATGAGAAGCATTGTTCATATATGCATATTTGCAAGAATAACACTGCAGAACATAACCTGCAGCATAACGTGGTAGCAGCCACATCTGTCTGCCAGGTGGATGGGCATTCCCCATGAGTTTTTAATAACTTATTTTTGATGTTTCCCTAAGATTTGCCAGGTGGTGGTGTGGCTACTACTGCTGATATTTTTATTAAAAAAAAAAAAAAAAGCTTAAAAAATAAGCTATAGTGATTTCCCAGCTTCTCTGAGCCTATCTTGGATGGGTGTGCATTCAGGCCACCAGTTCCTTTAGCTCTTCCTGCGTGGCTGTGAGGTTGAGCATCCTCCCTGTAGCTTAGCCGGGGTGCCGACATCGAGAGGGGGGCACGTAGCAGGGAGCACCTCACAGGTGTGGTGGCGATGGGACAGAGAGAGAGTAACACTTAGAAATGCTGCAGACGAGTTGTTGGTGTCGTGTCCCTTCTTCAGGCTTCAGAATAGGAACAAGAAGATTTCACAGGTAGAAATGGGAACATTTCCCTGTGCATAAATGGGCCAAACCCCCTTTAGTGTGCACAGATGAGTCCCTGAATGCTCTTTTAAAGGACTTCCACAGAAGTTGATTGGACTTAGCTCAGCCTGAGCTGTGCACGATGCACCATTCATTACATCTTGCTTGCTTTAGATGTGATGTTTTTGCAAGGCTGATACGCAAAACCGGCTGTGTTTTCATTATCTCCTTGGAGCCACTGGGCTGTGGAAGGGCTTGAGGGTGTTTTCATCTCTGCCATGTGGCCGTAAATCACAAGAAACCCCCAAGTGAGGTTTGAGGTGATGCCTGGCTTTTTCCGGTTAGGTCTGAAATGTTAACACATCTGTGCGGGCACTTCCAGTTTGTCAACCTGTGTTGAATCAGAGGATTTCTCTTGGAGTGCGGGTGGAGGAAGGCTCTCCCTGACGCTCTGAGCTAACAGCATCCCGAAAGCTGGGTGGCTCATGTCAGCGTGGTACTGTAGTCCAGCCCATGAGCTCAGAGCCTCAGGGAAGCTCAGAGCAGAGTTTGCTCATGTCTGCCGGCTAAAAAAATCAATGGACCTAATGCCCAGTGCATGTTTCAGTAAAATGAGGAGGAGGGAAATGATAAAGCAAATCTAAATCTGAAAGGAGACTCTTGAAGGGAGCACGGGGGGCACTGGCACCATCGCAGCAGAGTGGCACAGACGTGCAGCTTTCTAAAAAGGGGCGTTTTGTCTTTGATTACACCAAAATAACGGCACCTTTTTGAATGTCTCTCTATTTTTCTATTTGTTAGTGACTGTTCTTGCCATATTCCATGAACTCCAGGTTGATGTTGAGCTGTATGCCCTTCTCTTTGGCGAAAGCGTCCTCAATGATGCCGTTGCCATAGTGCTGTCTTCGTAAGTGTGTTCTGTTTTTATTTTTAATTGTTATGTATGTTACATGTCAGGCATTGGGGGGAGCCACTTGGCCTTGCTCCTGTGAAATAGGAGCATTGGTGTTTGGAAGAGCAGATTTCCATATTAAGTGTCCCCAGAAGCTCTAGTGCCCTTCTGATGCATCTCCTTGTTGCACACCACAGCTTGGGATTTGCGGGCTTTTATGGCCAGTTGACCCAGCTAGAAGGAAAAGGGAAAGGCCTCATCTCTGCATTTCAGCCACAGGATCCCACTGCAACCCCTTGCTGATGGCTTTGCTCCTACTTGTCTTCCTTCCCATCCACAGATACCTGCCTTTGTTTAGGTGGAAGTAGTTGGTAAAGCAGCTGTTTCCTTTCTCTCCGCAATTTTTGTGCATCAAGAAGATGGTATTTCTTACAGCTGGACTTAATACCCTGGACCAAATACATGGGAAACTTGCTGACTTTCTAAAGAATACTTTATATTCTTTAGTATTTTATGTCCTCTGTACACAGGACATATTTTATCTGCGTTTTCGCTGCATTGTCATCACAGGAATTTGTTTGGAAATATATAATATCTGCAGTGGTGACGGGTTAACGTATAGCCAAGACTAATGCAGAAAATATTTTTGGAATACTTGTCACTCCACCGTGCTGGTTGCGTGGGCTTTACTGAGGTGGAGGCAGCAAGGAACATATTGTGAGCTCGTATTGCCACCCGCATGAGTTGTATTTACTGAATTGAGTGTTTCTGTTGAGGTTTCTGGAACTGTTTGTATTTCTGGCTCGGGCTTTTACGCTGGAGGTGTCACCACTGGTGTGAGAGCAGACACTACACAGCCTGGTCATGTTTAAGATGTGATCCTGAGCGGAGAGGAGAAGGGTGTCTTCCAGCCCCTGCTGGGAGGTTCTGGGTGGGTGGGTTCAGCAGCGGAGCAGTGAAATTTGTGGTGGGTCTCCATGCACGTTGGTGACTGCGCCATGCATGCTGGTTTGCCTCTTGCACTGTTTCAGTACCATCTCCATAGCTCTTGCTCTGATCTCCTGCCTTCCTCTTTCTACAAACTGAGTTCAGTTTGCTCCCCTTCCCTGCAATGAGATAATTTGCACCAAAACAGCAGCCCCGAGCTGCAGACAGCAGCTATTTTGCTGTGAGGCCTATTTATTTGTGCAGCATCCTGACTTCTCAAAGGCTTCTCAGCAGTCAGTCCATACCCATTTTAAAGTTCGCCATGGTCTTGGTCTTCATGATCACCATAAGCAGTGCAAGGCAGCCCCGGTCAGCACGGCAGGTGTTGGTTGGTGCAGGTATCTTGGGGACAGCCTCAAGTCACCTAAGCAGACCCACATCTTGGGTGCAAGGAGGAGGTGAGGGCCTCTTGCTCCAGAGAAGGAAGCTCCTTTGAGAGCAGCACAGAGCTCCTACTCATGGTTCCCCTTTTATAAATTTAGTTTGGCATTTGCCTTTTTCACAGCAGAGGCTTAAGTGGGGGAACCCCACAGGGATGGTTCTGCTCCCCAGTTAGGAGAAGTAGGGGTGAGTTGGGAAGATGAGGAATTGGGGGGTTTCTGGGTGGGTGGGCAGGCTGTGTTGATGGGTGGGGTGACAGCTAGTGTTGCTGCTGCCTCGTGCCCAGGGTGAAGAGGGGCTCCAGCCATGGCCAGCTGAGTGCATGTGTTTGGTGATTGCCCGGGGAAGCACCATCAGCTCCTTGCCAATGGTCGTGCACTGAGGGAGGAATAACCCACGCCATGGTACAGGTTGGGGCTGACCTGCTGGAGAGCAGCTCCGAGGAGAAAGACCTGGGAGTCCTGGTGGACAACAGGATGACCATGAGCCAGCAATGTGCCCTTGTAGCCAAGAAGGCCAATGGCATCCTGGGGTGCATCAAGAAGATCATGGCCAGCAGGTCGATGGAAGAGGGAGGCCGTGGGGAGGCCCCATCTGGAGCACTGGGTCCAGTTTTGGGCTCCTCAGTTCAAGAAGGACAGGGAACTGCTGGAGAGGGTACAGGGGAGGCTACAGAGATGATCTGGAGCATCTCTCTGCTGAGGAAAGGCTGAGGGACCTGGGTCTGTTCAGCTGGAGAAGAGTAGACTGTAGGGGGATCTCATCAATGCTGAGCAGTAGCTAAAGGACAGGTGGCAAGTGGAGGCAGCCAGGCTCTTCTCAGTGGTGCCCAGTGACAGGACAAGAGGTAATGGGCACAAACTGGAAGATGGGAAATTCCATCTGAACATGAGGAAAAACTGCTTTCCTTTGAGGGTGGCAGAGCCCTGGAATAGGCTGCCCAGAGAGGCTGTAGAGTCTTCTCCTCTGGAGATATTCCAAACCCCACCTGGACATGTTCCTGTGCAACCTGCTCTGGGTGACCCTGCTTTGGCAGGGGGTTGGACGAGATGATCTCCAGATGTCCCTTCCAACCCGTTCTGTGATTCGGTGAAAGCGAGCACTGGGGGCATCGTCCCTGCACTGGGGGAGGATTACGAACTGGGACTGGGACTCCTCCATAGTTTCTGCAGGAGCTTGGTGCCCCTCAATCTCCTCTCCTCCCTGCTTTCAGTCCCAGATGAGTGTCCGTTCCCGGGGAGCTGGATCCATGCCTTTCTGTTCCTGCCTTGCACTATCCTGGCCTGGCCTGGCTTGGCAGGAAGGAACTGGGTGGAAGATGAAGAGGAATTGAACCCAGAACTGAAAGCCGGTGGGCAGTGACGTGCCGAGGCTGCGGTTCGTGAGCAGGGGGGTAAATGCAGCCGCAGGGTCTCTACCCGCCTCTTCCGAAGGGAGTTTCCACAGGGGCTAAATGCCACAGGGAGCCCCATGGGCAGGGACAGGGGAAATAAAGTGCACAAAGGGCAGCTGGAAATAGTGTCTTATTAGCAATGCAAAAAGCAAAACCAGAAGGACAACTGTAAGGGGTTAAAAGACAAAACAGACATCCTAACAGTTGGTTATGGAGGGGAAACGAAACCAGTCTGGAATTAAAAAAAACCACAACAACCCAAGCCCCAGAATAAGAGCATGTTGGTCAATGGGAAGGAAAGGATGGGATTGATGAAAAAACCTAAATCACAGGGAGAAGTCTGCAGCTTGCAGTATAAAAGACAATGCAGGAAAATGAAACGTATTAAAAGCAGGGAAGTTTAGCAAGGGAAGTGACCCGTGACATGCTGGAAAGGGAAGGATTGTCATTCCTGTTGCAGAAAAATGCTGGTGTATAGTCAGGGGAGAAAGCTGCAGGATGTGTGTGCGAGGCAGTAACTTTCCGTTCCGGCATAACTCAGGAGGTTAAACAGCAAATGTTTAAAGTTCACATCAAGAGTTTTAACAGAGCCAGCTGAGGGATTGCTAGCTAGGAAGTTGTTGTTTACAGTAAGTTTACATCAAAGAAAGTGATGTAAGAAATAAGAAGTTGACATTAAAATGGGATTTAGGAGATGGCGTGGGGACCCCTGTACCTCAGCCTTTCCAAATAAAACAGCGTAATGGCTGATGCAAGGCTCGGGAGTGAGGAGGGAGCAGGTTCAGAGATGGCATCAGTGTAGCATTCCACCCTCATCGAGGTCTGTTGAAGTTTGGTGGATGAAGATAACAGCGCTGCTGTAGTGAACCGGCACCCCTCTGTTTGCCTTGCTACCCTGTGATACTGTCTTCAGAACTGGGAGCAGTGCAGAATCACTGTAGTGCACATTAAATGCAGTAGAAGGGCACAACTGACAGTTCTCCAGGGGTTATTCACATCCTCCTCCTCTGTGGAGTCAGTGGAGAGATGCAGGCTCCCTCTTTGAATGCCTTGTGGTCCCAGCCTGCCTGACTTTATAGAGACCTGATGCCAAACCCCCATAATACCATCATAAATGGTGGACTGTCGCTTAGCAGGTGGATTTGCCAGAGATCATGCAAGAGAGGGGCTTTGAGCTGATGCTCTCTAATGTCTAGAAGGAGCAAATGCAGAGCCGTGCCTCGGAGGGGTGGCTGAACAGCAGAATGCCGGCCAGGAGCAAAGGGAATCCCAAACTCCCTGGGAGAGGGAATGTGTTTCTGTGTGCTGCCATCTCGGGGGGATTGCAGTGTGGGTCTCGGGTTTTGCCTCCCTGATTGCTCGGGCTCAGTATCTGTGGCTGTGGTAGTGCTTTGCAGAGCTCAGGCGGCACCATGGAGGTGCCTCTCTCTCCGGACTAAGGACTGTTTTGTTCTTGTGTGTGCTTTCCCTCCCTCTTTCAGTTCAATTGTGGCATACCAGCCAGCGGGCGACAACAGCCACACATTTGATGTCACAGCAATGTTCAAGTCCATCGGGATCTTCCTGGGGATATTCAGTGGATCTTTTGCCATGGGAGCAGCTACTGGAGTTGTGACAGCTTTAATATCCTTTTTGTTGGTTTTTCCAAGTGTTTGCATAACAGCTTCTTTTTTGTCTGCACTGCATTTCACCCAGACCCAGTGTTTCATTATTTTTTTTGCCTAAATCAATGAAAGGCAATGCCATAGTCTTTTTAAGAGCAGGCTATGGAGTGTTGCTGTGATACACAACTGGATTTGATACCCTCTCAGCCTACGGTTCCTCTCTACATTGTCCTTAACCATCTGCAACGTTACCAAGTTCACTAAACTCCGGGAGTTCCCGTTGCTGGAGACCGGCTTGTTCTTCCTGATGTCCTGGAGCACGTTTCTGCTGGCCGAAGCGTGTGGCTTTACAGGCAAGCTCCAGCAGAGCCCCGCAGAGCCTGGGATGGAGATCTGCAGGGACCATGGGCCTCTTGAGTTTTGCTTCTCCCAGCATCAATTGCAGCCGGGGCTTTCCCTCTGCTTTCAGAAGTTTAATTATTCTGGGTTCTGGGGTTATTGCATTAAGTTCCCTGTGCTATTGGGGTGCAGCTCAGCTCCCTTTTCATCACCAGGGGTCTAATGTGGTGCTCTGCTCCCCAGGTGTGGTGGCCGTGCTCTTCTGCGGGATCACGCAGGCCCATTATACCTATAACAACTTATCTACAGAGTCCCAACACAGAACTAAGCAGGTGAGAGCTCCTCAGCCTCCTTCAGCTTCTCTGAATTTCAGGTTCAATATTTTTTCCTTCCCTCTAGCCAGAATTAAGTGCATCTGTCTTTCTACAGATGGATTTTACTAGGGTTGTGGGACGGATGGGCTAACATGTTTTTCTTGTTAAATCTATGTTACGTCTAACTTGCTTTTAATTTGTTTTTCTCTTTCAGCTGTTTGAGCTTCTGAATTTCTTGGCAGAAAACTTCATCTTCTCCTACATGGGACTTGCTCTGTTCACCTTCCAGAACCACGTCTTTAACCCTACCTTTGTGGTGGGGGCTTTCGTATCCTTTGGATCCCATTTTATGAAACAAGAAAAGAAAGGGGAGAGGTGCCTCCTTCCTAAGTTGTGTTTTTCATTCAGATGTGTGGGGTTTTTTTCAGTCAGTCTAACTTTATTTTTAAAAGGGGATTTTTTCCCGTGTAGTAGTCTTTTTGCTGGTCATTTCAAGAAGATGGAGATTCTTTTCCCAGCTTTTCTGTTTGGCCTTTTTTCCCCCATCTTGTCTCTTTTTGTGGGCATTGGAATTAGCTGCTGCAGGGACTCAGCGTTCAGTGTGAATGTGGTGCCAAAGCACCGGGCTTTGTCTTGTGGCAGTGTGGCACCAGGGGACCGCCTGGTATAGCCGTTTATTTCGTTTTTTCTCTGCCATTCCCTTTGTTCGACCCCAAAAAAAGCTTTTTTTTTTGGTCAAGTGGCACAGTTAAAGCTGCAGTGGATGTCTCTGAATGATGTTATGAGAAAGGATTTCCCCTTCTGTGGGCTGATGCTAACAGTTTGTTTCAGAATCTGATATGTCTCAGAAAAACAAGGATTTTAAAGGAATTCTTTTCCCATCAAAGGGAAACCCTTTGCAATGAAGCAGATTTATATGAGTAAACAAAATGTTGTTACCTTTGCCAGTGCTGGCGCATGGGTTTGCGGCAGGGTCTGCTGAATCCCCCCACTGAGCTCTTGTGGGGCTGTGGTAGGGTGGAGGCAGCGAAGAGCAGGGGAACTTCCCTTTTGGGGTGGTTGGATTGAAATTTTGTGCTGTGCCTCTTCGGTAGGAACCGGCTAACTTGCTGATGAAATAGCTCATTCATGAGAGAGATCATGAAATACGTCTCTTATGCAAATTCATGATGTTCGGGAAAGAACGTAAAAGCTGGAAGCATTTTCCATATTATTCAAGGCTACACTGAATACTGGCTCCAAGATTATTTTTGCCATCTGGGTGCTGGTATTAAAAGGCACAGCTTCAAAGATAAAAAGCAATGTGAAGGGGCTGGTGATTCTTGTATCTCTCAGGCTATGAAAACAGAAAGAGTATTAGGATTTATTTTTTTTTTCCTTCTCAACTGCTGCTGCTTTCATTTTGCTGTATAATCTTTGGGAACAGGACTTGGCTTAAAGCTTCAAATCCAGCTGTGAAATGTGGGAATGTCAGAGGGGTTATGGTAGCTGTGATAACTTGGGCTTTGCAGAGGACAAATAATTCTTGGGGTGGAAAACGGAACTGGCAGGGGAGAGCATACAGTGGGACATGGTATTTTTTTGTCTCCTCTCACTCATCCAACCTGTCCTCTCACCATTTCCCTTCATTATTTGTGCTATTTGTGAATTGCAACGTTTGCTTTGCTTCAGTGAGGCAGTTGCATGCCCTTCCCAGGCTGCTGTACCACTCGGAGCTGGGTTATTATCTTTACATCCAGAGGACCCATGTTTCTGAGGCTCCCCAACGTTTCCGGCAGGCAGTAGAAATTGGCTCTGTGAGCAGAGGTGGGATGTGGTGGGAGACATAGGAAGAGCAATTTCCTTAACGTGTGCAAATACAGCTTGCTATCTTCCTAGGAAGAGCTGCCAATATTTACCCACTGTCATTTTTACTGAATTTGGGGAGAAGGAATAAGATTGGAACAAATTTACAGCATATGATGATGTTTGCTGGTACGTTACTGCATCCTTGCCTCTGACCATGTGGCCCATCTGCACTTCCTCACCCCATGAGCACCTGGAAATGTTCCTTATTCAACTCTAAATCTTTTATGGGCAATGTCTGGAGAAGAGGCTGGGCAGGAGAGGGCTCCTGAGGATTGGTGGTGTGAATGCCTTGGTTTTGAGATGTAGGAACAAGCACAAACACAAGCTGGGTGAAGAATGGATTGAGAGCAGCCCTGAGGAGAAGGACTTCAGGGTGTTGGCGGATGAGAAGCTCAACATGCCTCAGCAATGTGTGCTGGCAGCCCAGAAAGCTCCCTGCACCCTGGGCTGCATCCCCAGCAGCGTGGCCAGCAGGGCAAGGGGGGGATTCTGTCCCTCTGCTCCGTTCTGGGGAGACCACCTCCCAGTGCTGCCTCCAGCTCTGGGGCCACCAACATCAGGAGGACATGGAGCTGTTGGAGCGGGGCCAGGGGAGGCCACAGAGATGCTGGGAGGGCTGGAGCCCCTCTGCTGGGAGGACAGGCTGAGAGAGTTGGGGGGTTCAGCCTGGAGAAGAGAAGGCTCCAGGGAGACCTTAGAGCCCCTTCCAGTCCCTAAAGGGGCTCCAGGAGAGATGGGGAGGGACTCTGGATCAGGGAGGGGAGCCACAGGACGAGGGGCAGTGGTTTTAAATGTGTAGAGGGGAGATAGAGATGAGATGTGGGGAAAAAATTCTTTGCTGTGAGGGTGGTGAGAGCCTGGTTGCCCAGAGAAGCTGTGGCTGCCCCATCCCTGGAGGGGTTCAAGGGCAGGTTGGAGGGGACTTGGAGCAACCTGGTCTGGTGGGAGGCAGGGCAGGGGGTGGCACTGGATGGTCTTTAAGGTCTCTTCCAACCCAAACCATTCTATGAGGCTATGAATGAGCTCCTCCTGCCCTGTGCTTGAGTGGACAGTGTGGAGCAGGAGGAAGCTTTGCCTTTCTGGGCTGGGAAAGAGTAATGATAACCCCAGCTTTCACAGCATATGCTTAAGCTTAAATCATCACTGTTAAAGTGCTGTGGTCTCCTCTGGTGGTGGATATCCCATCAGAGGAACAGGACCCTGTGTGGGGCAATGTGATTTAAATCCCGAGTGGGGAAGCTTGCAGTGGGGGCAGCCGCCTGTGCCATGAGCTGACACAGTCCTCTGCCCTCCCTTCCCTGACAGGGCTGCGAGGAGCCATGGCATTCGCCTTGGCCATCCGCGACACGGCCACCTACGCCCGGCAGATGATGTTCAGCACGACACTCCTCATTGTCTTCTTCACGGTGTGGGTTTTTGGTGGGGGCACCACAGCCATGCTGTCCTGCCTGAATATCCGGTGAGTGTGGTGGTCACGGGACTCTTGTACCCCCTTGTCCTCTCCCTCTTGTATTAAGGTGCTCAGTTTTAAGAGATAAGAGGAAGATTGCACCCCTTCTTTCCACCCGGGCTGTGGCATGTCCCTAGCATTGCTTGTGCTAACCCTGTCCTTGTTTTCTCCTTTGCAGAGTCGGCGTGGACGCGGATCAGGAGAACGTGGTGAGTGCCTCTGCAGAGGAATTTGTGCTGCATTCGTTGGTACAAGGGTTACATGGAGATCCTGTGAATGCCCTTGTGTGCCCCACTCCCTTCCAGCTGCAGGAGGGTTTTTTAGCTCCTCTGGTGAAAGAGCTGGCAGTCAGCAGGAGTCGTGGCTTTTCTGTGCTCTCTGTGGTTATGCTGATGCTTGCTTTTATTCACTTGGAAAAAAGGGCATAGAAGTAACACTGGACTGTTTGGTCAGTCTATGTTACTGCCGTGATACATTCAGTCTCTCCCTTGCTGGGTCTGAAATAAATATCAAAATGTGCATGACACAGAGCCTTTCCAGCTCATCCCAGCACCCCGGGCAGTACAGAAATTCCGTTTACTTGCCCATTTTATGTAGCATCTTCCATCACTCTGTTACCCACAGGTAATCTCTCTTTTGCCCCCCTGGTTCCTGTGGGTAGTTACGTGGCAGCCCAGGAACCACCGACCGCAGTGAGATAAATGCTGGAGCCCTGCAGCCTCAGGAGTTTTCCTGCCCAGTAGCCCCGAGCTGTCTCACTCGTACATCTGGAGCCTGACCATGCTGTGGCTGTAGCTCTCCTTGGTTTCAGTGTGGATCCTGCACCTTGGAGGTTCATTTTATTCAGAGCCATTTATTGGGCTGTTCACTTCCTGGAGAGAGTCAAATGCTAAAGGCAGCCCAAGAGCTATAAATCTGAAAGCCAAATTTCTGTGAAATATGTACTTGTATTCATAGTCCCCTCCAAACAGTTCTATATTTTTTTTCTCTGACCAAATGGTAGCCAGGAGTCCCGATAACACATGATTATTTGCATGCAAAATTCTCAGGCGAGATTTGATGGAGGTTGGACCTGTCAGTCACTATTAAATGTGATGTTTGGGTGCAGCTGCTGGCTCCAAGACACTTTAAACCTTGGGGCCAGAAACTGGAAGGCTCTAGCAGAAAAGTGGTCACTCTGTGCTTTGATGCCACCTCCCTAAGGCTGTTGTATGCTGCTAAATGCAGAGCGTGGTGCTGGAAGCATCTTCAGCCTGTCATGCTGTCAATGTCCTTACATTCGCTGCAACCCAATGGTTTCTTCTGAAGAGGCAGTGGGAAGGTGTGTGTCTTCTTATGTCCCCATGGGGGTAACTGGGGGCCTGACCCAGGTCGTGGCACATTGCCCTGCTGCTGTTTAATATCTTGCTCTCCTGCAGGGTGTCCCAGAGAGCGAGAGGAGGAGTACGAAGGCAGAAAGCGCCTGGCTCTTCCGCATGTGGTACAACTTCGATCACAAGTATCCTTGGATGGAGGCTGGCATGTGCCATGCCAAATCCCGTCTGTCCGAGCAGCTCCATTGACTGGGAGCGTGACTTGCTCCCTGCTCAGCAGAGGAGCCAGGGTTTGCTTTCCCATCGCACTGCTGATTTTTGATTTGCACCTCCTTGTGTCTGCAGCTGTGAGGAATGACCGTTTCCATCCACCATTAACTGGGAGTGCAGCAGTAGCTCAGTTCAAAGCTGGGCTCTCCTAGGCTGGAAGCCCGAGGTGTCCTCGATCCCTGTGGCAGGCGAGCAGGAAGAGCAGAGGGTCTTCTCATTTGTCACCCTTTCACTAGATGCTTTGCCATTCACTAAAATTTATTCTTTGCTGTCAGTTAGAGGAGCAATTTGCTAGGCTGAGAGGCACAGGGTGATGCTGCCAAACCTTTTCTTACCGGGACTGTGCCCTGGTCTGCTCATGTCCCGCTGTTTGGTTGCATTCATGTTCCTCATCCCTAGAATTTTTGTGTTTCCAGGGACTTGTGTTTCTTTCCTTCTAGTGATTTCAAGACACTGAATCCCTTGATGTCTCTTCATCCCACCCCTTGATCTGCCGATATCACCCTATTCTTCTTTTCCTTAACCCTCTCTGTAGCTATCTAAAGCCCCTGCTGACGCACAGCGGTCCTCCTCTGACGACCACGCTCCCGGGGTGCTGTGGGCCTATTGCCCGGTGCCTGACGAGTCCACAGGCATACGAAGTGAGTCCGTTGGTGTCCTTTCTGTTGCAGTGTCGGTTGACACGTTTATGTTGCAGCTTTTGGATGCTGCTCTGCAGCATTGAGCTGGGAGCCTGGGGGAAGGTCAGGTGCTGGGGCTGATGGATGAGCTAATTCCCGTGAGCATTTTGCTTTTCCAGCTGACTGTTTGGTCATGAAGGGATTTGTGGTGTATTCATGGTGGTTCCTCAGTGACAGGCTCAATAAAGCTGTCACAGGTTTCCTTCTCATTCCCCATCCCCAGCTGGGAGGACACACAATTTCCCCATCCCCTACTTCCAGCCTTGCAGCTGAGCCATTCCTGCAGCCTGCCTTCAGCTGCATCACTGGCAATCAAAAAGGTTACCAGCATCTGAACCAGGGCTGATTCTCACAGAATCATAGAATGGTTAGAGTTGGAAGGGACCTCAAAGATTATCTAGTTCTAACCCCCTGCCCTGTGCAGGGACACCTCCCACTAGATTTGCTCCTGAAATGGTAAAGAGCCCTTGTTTGAGCAGCCCAGAAGGGCAGGGAGGTGACCAGCAGCTTTGGAGAGCGTGTAGGCAGCACCCTCTCCCACCAGCGCTGCAGAGCCTGTGTGCACCCACGCTCTTTGAGGTGCTGGGTTTGCTGGTTAGGCTTGTCCTCCCATGGTTCTGGGGGTGAATGGTGCCAGCAGGGCTGTCCAGTACAGCCTCGGCACTTGGGGCATCGCCGTGCCCGGGAGCCACTTGCAGCAGCAGCTCTCCGTGGCAGGAGTTTTCCTGTCCTGCCCACAAAGTATCAGCATCGGGTTCCCTGCACCAAATAGAGAAGGTTCTGATGGGTCGGCGATGCAGTTCCTGTTGTCGTAGGTATTTTAATCCCGACAAAGCCACTCAAAACTTCATTACCCCTATGTCTGGCTATGGCATCAGAAGGGAGCTGAGAGAGCCCTCTTCAGCTGTCTGCAGAGAAGTTGATGCGCTGTGCGAGTCTCGTGGGCTCAGAGATATGTGTGTGGCCCATCTGGTTGTGGTGATGGTGGAGGAGAGTCTGTGATTCGGTGCCTCTCTCTGCTCATTTGCTGCCACCATGGGATTTCAAACCCAAGCTCTTCAGGCAGAGTTAAACAGCACTTTCCTGTTTGTTGCCCAGAATCAAGAGCAGCTGAAGGACGATGACTCCGACCTCATTTTGAACGATGGGGACATCAGTCTGACCTACGGGGATTCCACCGTCAACACCGACTCCGTGGCGTCCAGTGGCACGTCGCGGCGGTTCGTGGGGAACAGCTCCGAAGATGCCCTCGATCGGGAGCTTGCTTTTGGGGACCATGAACTCGTCATCCGGGGAACGCGCCTGGTCCTTCCCATGGACGATTCAGAGCCACCGTCAAATGTCCTGGATAATGCAAGACACGGTCCAGCATAAGGTTGCCTGGTTTAATTGACAGTAGTATTTGCATATATGATCAAGAAATATGTACTACCTAAAGTCTAATGCATGTCTCAAAATGTCTAAGCTGTATAAATATTATTTATATGGTGTCAGAAGAATATAAATATTCTCTGCCAAGCACTTGTAAAGAACAAGTTGCAAATTTAAGTTAAAAACTGTGTTGACTGCACTATGTAGGGTGGAACTGTTTTAGCGTAAGAGTCTTTTGCACACAGTGAGCTTATTTAATGTGTGATTCGGCGAAGGGTTTAGTTCCCAGCGGGGCAGGTAAAGAAGCTGACTCCCTGTTCATCCCTTGAGCCTGGGAGAGGAGGGTAGGGAGGTGCTGGTGAGCACTGGAAATCGCTTTCTATTCAGATGAGGATTGTTTATTTTTTTTGGTCTCTGACCTTTGGATAGCCACATTTGAAATCTCAGCGAAAGAGACTGCCCATGGCCCCTCTCGCCGGGCAGCGGCCGGTGATAAACTTGTTCGCTTTGTGGGAAACCTGAGCTGGGAGCTGGAGATTTTCTGCTTTTTCGTGCCCCTCTGCCCAAGCCCTACTTTAGCAGGTTCAGGGCAGGCACCAGGAAAAGCCGACAGCCAGGACTCTGGCCGACCTTAAACACGAGCTTTATGGCTACAGATTGACACGGTACCTCCGGGCCTCTCCAGAGGCTCCCAGCATCCAGGTGGTACTGAAGGGGAGTTGTCCGTCCGTCCATCTGTCCTCCTGTATAGTCAAAAAATCATTGCACTTTGTTTAATAACTCTGTAGCATGCTGTGTGTCTGTAATCCCCGCCCCATCTCTCCTGTGTCTCTTACCATTTAATGAGAAATGTTTGCGAGTTCATTATTTTTATAGTAGGTTTGTTGGGTTTTTTAATGTTTTTTTTTATTTTTTCTTTTCCAAGGAAGAGCACAGAACAATTTGTGATTTCACACTAGTGTTAAAGGATTTACTCTGTAGTTAGGAGAATGGCTAAAAGTGCAGTGAAATTGTTAACCCTGACATCCTTCTTTTTCTCCTGAAAAGGGTGAATCACAGAAATTCACTGTATGTAATTTTATTGTCTATTTTAGCTGCCGTTTTGCTATAAAAACTCTTCAGGGTTATCTGTGCACTACAGGCCCCTTTCTGGAGTTAACCCTCTCCAGAGGGCTTAAACAGAGGTGTTTTAAAAGAGAATATATGAAAATGAGATGTGAGTCTGAGTACTCACGACTCCCTTTATCTTTCCTTGGAACAAACTCTGCATCTCTCGGGATCTGAGCCTGAGGTCTCAGAGCGATGTCCCCATGGCTGTTTTCCCCAGGAAATACCAAAATTTTGAGTGTATATGTATAGTTGAGAAAATAATTTTTTTTTTTTAATTTTCTCAGGTCTAAGTAACATAGCCTTAAATTCACGGATGTGAAACTAATTATTTTGGCAGTTTATCCCCAAGAAAATGCTTTCTTTTTCCTTCTGAACAAAATGTCTAAGTGTTGCCATAGGACTCCTCTAGAAGGGGGGTAATGCTCTGTTTATATTTAGATAGGGCATCTTCCTTGCACCAGTAAATGGCAGTCTCGCTGTTAACATAGCTGTTGGATTAGCGCTAGCCTCTTTGTTTCCTGCTATGCAGGAATTCCATAAAGTGTGCGTTTTATATGATGTCTGTAACTTCATGTGTTTAAAAAAAAAACAAAAACAAAAAAGAAAAAAAATACGTTAGGTACCTGTTGACTTTAGGTTTTACTGCATCACTTCCACACCCTGTTTTACGTCGTTTTGCCTTTTTGAAGAGGTCTGATAAATAATTACCTCTTGTTTTTTCCTGTCTAATCTGACTATGAATTCAATTTACAAAGCTGGCCTTGTTGCAGCAGGAGGGCAGAACGGTTCTGCCCTCCTCCCTGACAGCCCATGGTCCCCTCGGTCCCCTGCACTGGCGCAGCATCAGGGCAGCGCAGGGCTCCCTCCCAAGCCATCCCCAGCCCTCCCAGGGGCGAGTGTCACTGGGGTGGCCACAGCATCATGTTTTACCATAACTGCAGTAGCATTCCTCTCTTCCTCTGACCCTTCGACTTCAATTTATCCACTCTCTTTAAGCTTGCCAACATGTTACCATAAGCCTCAGCTTTTGACACCAGTGACAGTTCAGTTAGTGCATTAAAGAAAAAAAAAAAGGTAACAAATGATGATTTTATGAGTTACCTGTGAACTCTTATGATCCATACATAATAAAGCCAGGACTGTTTTGAATAGTCTTGGTGAATGAATTCTAGGCGGAAATTCAGGAGTGATTTGATGAGCGACTCACATTCATCCTCAGCTGATTATTTCCTTTGTCCTGCTGCAGCAGAGAATGTGCTAGAGGCAGAGCCCTGATGGCTTGTGTGCTGCAGATGAAGTTAAGGATATCTTAAGGATACCCTGAGACCTTTTGCCAAATAGATAAGACAGCCCCGAGGAGGCAGTTTACAGCCCCCATGAGATTTAGAGAAGGTGCCCTGCTTCTGTAAATTGAATTTTCATGGTTTTTGCACATGAAAAAGCATTGTAGGTAAAGATGATTTGTACTAATACTGTTGATTTGTGTAGTAATGGCATTAACTCCGTAGTTGTGGTGTTTGTGCAGCTGATCTGTGATAGCTGATGATCACTATTGGACCTTCTGTTTACACTGACTAAATCCTTTACTGTTGCGTTGTACTGTGAAAGAAGGATTATGGGCCTATAATTTTTTTTTTTTTCTGGAATTGTGTGTACCGTTTCATTAATTCACATGGAAATAAATCTGTAGCAAAGTGACGACGTGCGGCTTGACCTTCTCAGACCAGTTTGTTCATGGCCAGCGGGTATGGATGGCAGCAGCCAGGGATGCTGATGCTGAACCCCAGGGGCTGGAGGGCAGCTGCGCTGGGGACCACACTCCTGCCTCTGCTCCTGAGACACAGCCCAGCCCTGGGGCCATCCTCCCTTGCAGGGACAGGCACTGGGGAGCCGAGAGACGCTGATGTCTGCTAAAAGCCTCTGCAGTGAGCAGCAAAACCCAGCTGGGGCAGAGCTGCTCCCTTGTCCTGGGGCAGTGGGTGGACCTGCCTGAGAGGCATCGCTGAGGGGTGTTTGCAAAATTGAGGCTCCTGAGCGTCTCTGGGCTTTTATGTGCCATTTTTTTTGTTGAATTTGCACTTGGGCTTGTGGCAATTCTCCCGTCTGGGCCATTTTTTTGCTGCTGTGTGCTGTTGGAGCAGCTGAAGAGGTTTGCTGTTCAAACGCTTTACAGTCCTTCAATACAGAGGGCACCTCGGAGACTTCAGGAATCTGATTTTGAGGGCTTTGATTCATAAAGGACAACCTTCACCCTTCGAAGGATACATTCTTCATAGCTCAATATGGTTGTGGGAGGATAGCCCCCAAAACCCAGTTTAACGCATTTATTTCCCATCATAGAGGCGGACAGGTGAAGGGGAGGTATGTTCTGCTTTCTAAAGGGACTGTGGTCCTTTTGTGGGATAGCAAGTCCTGAGCTCTCCCCCTGGGCTTTGCCAAAGCCTTGGCTGCAGCTCACAAAAGTACCTGCATCTGCAAGGGAGAAGGGCTTGCCCAGTGCCACACTGGTCATGGGTGGCCCGCGCTACTGGAAGTCGCAGGAGCAGGACAGGCGACAACAGTGTTTATTTTCTTACTATGGAATAATGCTAATTCCACCCTGCACAGTCACACCTCAAAATCCTGACAATCAGCATAAACACTGCTAATCCTGCTGGACGCAAGCCCTCCAGCCCAGGCTCAGGTCTGGGGCATGTAACTAAACCAAACAAGGACGTAGTTTAGCAATTGAACAAATGCCTTTTGGCAGCTCTTTACCCTTGCAAACCTTCAAAAGAAGGCATGAGGCAGACCCAGGTTGGTCAGGCTGAATTTGAGCAACCTGGTCTGGTGGGAGGTGTCCCTGTCCAGGGCAGGGGTTTGGAACTGGGTGGTCTTTAAGGTCCCTTCCATCTCTAACCATTCTGTGACTCTGTGATCCCTGCATAGGCTGGGGATGGGGACTTGCACCCCAGGTAGGTGCACAGAACATGATTAGTCCCCGTTTTACTGGTTCAGTTGAATTTGAGCTGATGAGGGACAGTTTTCAGTCACGCTATCGTACCAGCTGGCCATGTTCACGTGGTGATCCCCAGTAAAGCACTGGGAAATGGACCAATGCGGGATATCTGTAGCCTCAGAGAAATCACAGGGCTGTTCTTAGAGCAATCCTGTATTCTCATGCACCAGGCATGGACAGTCCTGTGTACTCAGTTCCCCATTTCCATGCCATGCTGAGGAAGCATTTATGTAGATTTAGATGAGATCTCAGGAAGAAATTCTTTGGTGTGAGGGTGGTGAGAGCCTGGCCCAGGTTGCCCAGAGAAGCTGTGGCTGCCCCATCCCTGGAGGGGTTCAAGGCCAGGTTGGAGGGGGCTTGGAGCAACCTGGTCTGGTGGGAGGTGTCCTTGCCCAGGACAGGGGTGCGACTGGATGGGCTTTAAGGTCCCTTCCCACCCAAACCATTCTATGATCCTATGTGAGATAAGATTTTTTTAAAAAAGCAAGCTTCTGATTCTTTCTTATCTCATCATGGCCTGCAAGGAGCTCTTGTCCTTGCTGGGTCCTCTAGATGGCAATATTGGAAAGGACAGTAATTGTCCATCACCACTGTATTCCTGCAGGTCTGGGCAGTGCAGAGGCTGCCAGCCCACCCCTGCTCCAGAGACCCTTTCCAGCTCCTGCCATCTTCACCATGTCTTATGCACCATCCGTCTTGAGTCTTTATCTGCAGAAAGGAGAAGGGACTCCACTGTGACAGCAACTGCTCTTACACCCTGAGCCCCTTTGCAGAAGCCACCACCTTCTCAAACAACCAGGAAACCAGGAGTCTGGGGGCCGTTGAGGTGACCTTGTGCTCAGAGACTGTACATCTACCCCACATCTTCCTTTCTGCTTTAAGGCCAGTTGCTTGTTGGCATTTCCCGTGTTCCCCAACCTGCCCTTCTGTTAGGCTTTTAGAACCAGGAGTTTAAGGCGAGTGGTCACAAGCTCGTTGCAGCATCAGTTTTAGCCCCTCAGAGATGAGCTGCAGCCCTTGCTGGAGCTGCTGACAAGTATCGGAGCTGGTTCAAACCCCACACACAGCATTGAGCCTGCAAGGGCACCTTCCTCCACGATGCTTATCCTTCCAGGCACCCCAGGTCTCACAGGTAGGGCATCACCTGGTCTTTAAGCCATTTCTAGCACTAGAAGTTGCTGTCATCTGCAGCCAGTTTGTGGTCATGGTTGCTGTTTGCACTGTTGCAAGAGGACTTTCCTTTCTGCTTCTGCTCATCACAACCCCAAAACAGTGTTTGTCAACAGATGTGGAGAGGGTTATGGAGAAAACATCTCTGCAGGATTAAGAGAGGAGGCAAGGGTGGAAGTGCCTCTCAGATGCTAGTGGGCCCAAGTATATTCTTATAATACTAAATTGCAAAAAATCTTTTGGCCACATGTGTCTGTGACTGGAGGTTAACTGGAAGGTGAGGCAAGTAAAAGGGAAGTGAAGAGATGGTGTCCTTGCTGACAATCATAACAAAACCTGCCAAGCCCAGAGAGCCCAGAGGCCATGGGAGTATTTGAATACTCTCCATGTCTGGTGCAAGCATAGCAACACTGCCCAGCTCAAACACCACCTGTGCCCGCTGCTTTCCACCTCCTCTGCTCTCTGCTGAGCAGAGAACGATGTGAGGAGGGTCACTTAATATAAAAGCATTTACAACTCACTTCCTGCCTTCAACCACGTTAATATCAGAAGCTGCTTTGCACCTTGCTGCACTGGGGACAGCCTGGCTCCCAGTCCCCTGATCTCTCTGCTGTGGCTAAAAGAAGAGCAGCACAGTAGGGCTGCGGGTCTGATGTCCCTGAAGGCTGCTGGCCCTCAGACAAGCCTGGGAAGAAGCAAGGTGAAGTCTTGGTGGATTGGCTGCTGCAGAGGTGGGATGTCAGGGGTGAGGCTGTGGCTGGAGAGCCCAAAGCCAGGGAAAGCAGAATTCCAGCCTGTCACCACCCAGTGTTGCAGGCTGGTATCAAAGGTGTGCAAAGCTCTGCTCTCAGAATGGAGTTTGGGAATGAGGGGCTCTAGAGCATGTTACTTTGGGAGACACAGCCCTTGCACAGCTCATCTTGGTGCTTTTCCTTCCTCCAGCCCTAACAGTCCATGCTGGGCACTTAGGGCCTGGGTCAGAGGCTATGAGATCCCTTGATGACTGCAGGAGACTCTGTAAGGTTCAGGACTCTGGGGTAGCAGAGCCTTGAATTTGTTGTCCAATATTTAGACAGGCATATATACAAAAGGATTTCATCTTTATTAATTGGCCTTTCATAGGAAATTCCACCAGCTGTCCTCCTCCGAGAGGTGCCAGCGATGCTCCAGCCCCAAGAAGCCCATATATGGTTGCAATCTCCTAACCCTGCGTGTTTCGCAGAATAGTGTGGTCATAGCTACTTTTAAGGATACGCGTGAACATTGCTCCCTTTCCCATACGCCTAAGCTCCCAAGAATGTGAACAAAGACCAAAAGTGTATAAATTAAAGCCATCAGCTTTATGCGGCATGTCAGCTCTCCTACCTGCAGCAGCAAGGTTAGTTATTCCAGCCTCCCCACACAGGTGCTGGGCTGGAGAGGCACCATGGTGCAGAGGATGCTTTGTGACTAGAAAAATACCAACCAGCCAAGCTTCAAAGCATCTTGCAATGTAAATGTGCCTCAGCTCAGGCAGCAGCAGAAGTATTTTCCCTTGCCCTTCCTCCTCCTATTACCACTGTTAAACTACAGCTGAGAGCTCCAGGTACTCAACAGCTACCTCTGAGCCATCTTTGTTTGTAAGGGACTTCTGTATCCTGAATCCTGTCTGATCCTTCTTCCAGGGACATCATCTCCGCCCCCTTCCTCTTCCTCCTCCTCATTTCTGTGGCCTGGTGTCCACAGCTCCTGCTCTGTTCATTCTCCAGAGGCAGCAAGAGCAGGTAATGTACCCTTAAGTGTTGGTAGCAGTAAATGTCTTGCAACCCACTGACCTCCTCCTCTCTCCCATGCCAGCTGCAGCCCCTTTGCCTGATTTAGAATGGGCTAATCAGAGAAAAGCAGAGGGGGGTCACAGTAGGCATGTTCTGCACCTGCATCCCATCTACAGCATCTCCCTTGCCCTTCCTGCAGCACTGGCCTGTACCAAAATGCACATTTTCTGCTTAGTAGTTCCAAGGGCATAACGTTAACGACAGCAAAGGGCAGTGTGTCTCCCACACCTTGGCAGCATCCTCATCCTCCGCAGTGCCTCAAAGTGTCTCCTCTGCACCCTTTGATGATGCATGGCTGAATCTGCTCTTCTGTGATATGGCTCGCTCCTAAAACTCCCAGAGGTGCCAGAGAAAGGAGAACAGCACATGCAGCACTGCTTGCTTTTCCCAGGCAGTTAATATTAATCATTGGTGCTTTTGGATATGTTGTGTAAATTCTTCCAGCCTCTGAAGCTTTTGAGATCTGTAATAAGAGAGAATTGGAAATGCCTCTGGATCTCAGTGACAGAAGGGCCAGATTTAATACAAACTTCTTCCCTTCACCAGATACTCTGCCATATTTTTTAGCTTCAAAATAGACATGAACATTCCAAAGCTATTTAGCGAAATTATGTCTGGTTGAGTGGTCTGAAGTCACTATTTGCACTGGTGTCCATTTTTTAAGGTGCAAAATCAAGGATTCCTCTGACGAGGCAGGTTAGAGGGTACAATGCTGCAAATGCAC